GTTGAATTATTGAAAAGTAACTTCAGATTCGTAACCGGTGACCCCAAAAACCCACGAGTAACAAATTTCAGATAAATCCATTGAGTTTTTGAAAAAATTGTCCGCCATATTGGATCCACCATTTTGAATTTTTGAAAACTTATACCGTATTCGGTCTAATTCATTCCACAATAATTCGATTGGAGACAAATCTGGTGAATAAGCAGGCTATATCATAATGCTTAAAATTCTCTTTTCTTCTTTCTTTTTAATATAATTTTGGCAGAGTTTTGAAGTGTGCTTTGGGTCGTTATCCTGTTGCAAAACGAAACCATTCCCAATGTTTTCCAGACCCGAAGGAATCAAATGTCGTTGTAAAATGCTGTGATATCCCACTTTGTCTAAAATCCCTTTAACTTCAATCAAATGGCCAACTTTGGAACCTCCAAAAGAACCCCAAACCATAATACCACCACCTCCATGTTTGACCGTCGGTGTAACGCTTTCAGATAAATACTTTTCATTTTTGCGCCTTCGAACATAAACTCTCCTTTTCGACCCAAACAATTCAAATTTAGATTCATCTGTCCACAGAACCTAAGTAAATTTTTGAAACGTTAAAATTCGAATCTGTAAAAGATTTGAATAAACATATTTAAAATTAATTTAATTAACCTTTCTCCATTGTTCCAAAGTCCAATTGCGATGTTTTTTCGCCCATTGTAGTCGCTTTTTCTTAGCTTTAGGTTTTAAAATCGGTTTTTTTTGAAACACAACCTTTAAGACCAGCTTTGTTCAAAATTTTTTTAACTATAGTCTTAGAAATAGGATTGGTTCTATTTTCATTAATTTCTGCAAGCAAATCTTGAGCTGTGAGTTTTCTATTTCTGAGACTTTTAATAATTAATGAATGCACTTCGCGAGGTGTTGTAACTTTTGGACGACCACTTCGTTTTCTGTCCTCATAATTTCCAGTTTCTTTTTTTCTTTGTAAAACATATTGTACTCCAAAAAGCGATACTTTTATTCTTTTCGCTATTTCTCTCAAAGTATACCCTTCTTCTCGTAATGTACAAATTTTAACTCGATCATAATTATTTATTTCATTTCTCGGTGACATTTTTTTACTTTACAGTAGTACAAAGTTTTATTTATAAAGTGTGGTTAAACGATAAAACAAATGAATGGGAACGACAAATTCCGATTTATTTTCTTTGAAAATTTTCGAAAGCATGAGAAATTAATTTTATAGAATTTGAAGCAACTACTGATTATTTTTAAGTGGATTTGGTCTAGAATTAAAGAGCGGGATTTATACTTCATATTGTAGAAGTGTCAAATCTCAAAAAAAATTTCTCATCGATTGGCATTGACTTGAACTCAGTATTTCGAAGTCGTAATTTTTGCAAAAAAACCTCTGACTTTAAAAAGCTATATTTTGTTATTTACTTCATTAAAATGGTTCTTTCTTGGACCAATCAACGTGAAATTTAATAAGCTTTCAATTGATCCCTGATTGATAGCATTTACTGCATTTTTTGCAGAAATATTTGAATTTGAAGTGAAGCGAGCAGTTACACGGAAAAAACTTTTCTGGTAATCCTTTAACATCGATTTAGAGATTTTACATGTTCCTAAATCTGTTAATTCTACAGATATGTTCTGTAAGGATTTAACGCATGCGCGAAAACAATGCAGTGATTCGACTAAGGCTAAGTGTCGTCAAGAAAGTTTAATTAAAAAGGAAACGTCTTAAGTATATAAACATTATTATAGAAATAAATTATTACAAATTTTTTATTTTAAAATTAACTGTAGTGATTAAGTGAGAAAAGTCGTTTGTTTCAATTTCTCGACATAAGAAAAAGTGGATTTATCATAAGTTTTGAAAACTTGCTCCTCATTTTTTTTGTTAGAAAATTATTGAAGGATGAATTTATTTACATAGAAGTTATACTAATTTATACAATAATGTTCCGCGAATTTAATGTATTCGGAGGAGAATATAACCTATAAGAAATACTCTACCAAATATATATTATCCCCATATACTATACATAATTTGGTCACTCAACAGTTTTTAAGAACTGTAGCTTAAACTTGTAGAATTAACAGATTTTAATGCCAATGATGCAACATATTTCTCTATTTGGAGAAACATCAGTAGATGGCGCAGGAGTTTCTGTAAATTCTACAGAAAATTTTTTTCCGTGTAAGAGCAGTCCAACAAAATGTACTGAATTTTTGCGACTGGAGTTTTTTTTTAAAATTTGTCAAAATTATTACAACAAAGTCTTTAATTGTACTATTAAAAAAACGCAAATTTTATTGAATACATTCATTTATTAAATATATTTATTTTATTTTATTTAATTTGACTTACACATTTATTGAATAATTTCCTAACCATATTGCTAGAAATTGATACTTCTAAATGTAAACAAACATACTGAATGTATAACAAATAAAAACTGATATGTTCACACTTACAAAAAAAAATTTTTAACCGTGAAAATTTAGAAAAAATTTTTATTTATTATTTTTAAAATGTTTTAATTGAAGCACGTAGTTAGCGATCAGAAATAATAATCTTAATAACAATATCTATTGTTCACGCGAAATTTCAACCGCTAATTTGTCAATCTGTGATTGTGCTATTAAAAAAAGTCTAAATTTCAAGCAATTCACGCTTATACATACACACATAATTATGTTTATAGTATATTTATTTTTGAAAGCACACTGTTTAATAATGCCTCCTTTTATTCGTTTTTTAATGAGTAATATGCTCGCACAAAAAAATAGAATTGGATTACTGCTGAAAGCACAAAATAGAAAAATTTCCATGACTTTCTATTATTGCAAAATGGGAGTAACACTTTTTGAATTGCTGCCATTCAGGTGTAATTAAGGAGCACATATTTTTTTCGACGTGTAATACATTAATAAATATAAGACGAATTGTTTACAACTTGATTTGAGCGATTTCGTTTTACGCTGAAAAAGTTATTAACATTTAAGTTTAGAAAATATCCAGAGTAACAAGTGGAATTTGATCTCTGAAGATCATTTATGGCTTATTATTTCACATTAACTGTATAAAAATTGTGCTTTTGTTTGAATTTTTTATTAAATATAATGTCAAAAAGACACTCACCGACGTTCCGAAGCTGAGGTCGTAAGTCTTCCGCCAAATTGGATCCGCTGTTTTGAATTTTGAAAATCTGATATCATATGCGTAATCACCGACCCCAAAAACTCCCGAGTAAGGAATTTCAGGCATTTGAATCTCTTTTTAAGAGTAGACAAATATTACACATAAAAATGCTTCAAAATTTTCCCAAAACTTTAAACGCGTTTTTCTCGAAACAAGATTCTTCAAACGTAGCATCTAAACTATTTGACCAATCAACTTCGGGTTTGTGGCTAATTAAAGGTAACTAAATTCTGCTGGGGTTATACCTTTAATATGATACAATTGTTAACAATAAAGATTTTTTACAAGAGGTCAAACATGAAAAAATAAGGCAAAAAACGCAGTGTTTTAAAAAATTGGCCGCCATTTTGTCATTTGTTTAACTTTTTAACTATTTTATAGGTATAACCTATTCTTTAGGATGTCTTCTAAAAATGTTAAGTTTTTGTTTTAGACTTAAAATTGCGCATTGTAGAATGCCCACCGTTTTCCCTATTTAAAAAAACATTGTTTACTAGGTGCGCCATATTGGTCGCCATTTTGTTATTTTTTAAAAATGAAATATATGTTGCTTCCTCGTGGAGGAAGCTTTGTAGTCCTTTCGTTTATAAAAATTTTCAAAGTGTCGGAAACAAATTTTTTTCTATATAGAAACATGTTATATGAGATCCTGATCAATTGTCCGGATGTGTGTGTGTGGATCCCTTTTTTGTTTAGACGATAACTTTAACAGGTTTTAATGGATTTAGATAAAACTTGGTAGGCTCATTTATCATATTAATATCTCAAATCTGACCAAAGGATTTTAAAAAATACGCAAAAAAAAAATTTTATTGTCTTTTTTCCAAAGATTTTTTTTTAATCGAAAAAAATTTTAAATAGAAAGATTTAAGGTTATATATAATAAAATCGTATTCCTTACGTCAAGACAAATCGATTGGTATATATAAAGTATAGTTTCAATTTAAATTTAAAGAATTAATGAAAGTTAAAAAATCAAAAATTCACATTTTGTCAATAAAATTTTGTGATTTTTTAAATTGAAGTTTATATATGAAATAATTGTACTGCTTTCATGAAAATGAATCGATTGGTATATATATAAAGTATACATTCGAGGTAAATTTAATAAATTAATGAAAGTTAAAAAAAAATTCCCATTTTAGCTGAAAAATTTTGTATTTATTTAAATTCAAGTTTAAATATAAAATAATTGTGTTCCTTGCATTGAAACAAACTGATATAATTGTAAATAATTATAAATTATATATTATTTTTCATTAATTTTCAGAAATTTCAGCTAAAATGTGAATTTTTGATTTTTTAACTTCCATTAATTCTTTAAATTTAACTCAAATCTATAGGTACTCAAATGTTTATATTATTATTATATTATTTTTATATGTTTATTTCAATGTTAATGCTTTCTCCACGAGGAAGCAAATTTTTTTTCTGATCGCAAAGAGGAAGCAAAATGTTCATGTAATGAACATCTGAATTTACAACTTGTTTTAAAAGTTCAAAGATGTACCTTTATTTAAGAAAAAAACTACATCACTAAGTCTTAACCGTTTCCCGTAAAAAATTGTCAAAGTTTGTGTTGATTTTGGCCTCCGCAATGGGAACCTACCCTTAAAAATTTTTGTTTGTTATTTTCATTGGAAAATTGAGATTTTTTTCAATTAACTATATATCACACATTTATTTGTAAATAATTGAATAAATATAAAAATGAATAAACATAGAGTTTACGAGAAAATATGATTTTAATTAAATTTTTTTTTATTTTCTTCTAATTTGACGTAAAAAAACTTTTGTTTCTTAGGAAAAGTTTTACGAACGGCCAATATTATTAGCAGATCGTGAACTAGTTGAGAATGAATCCGAGGAAATCTTATCAAATTCTGAGAATGAAGACGTTGCATTTCTTGTTGTTGGAGATCCCTTTGGAGCAACGACTCACACTGACTTAGTTTTAAGAGCACGCGAAAAAGGAATAAAAACAGAAATTATTCACAATGCATCAATTTTAAATGCCATTGGCTGTTGTGGTCTTCAACTTTATTCATACGGTGAAGTTGTTTCCATTCCTTATTGGACGGAAACTTGGCAGCCCGACAGTTTTTACGAGAAGATAGGGGAAAATCGAAAGCGAGGTCTTCACACACTATGTCTGCTTGATATTAAGGTCAAGGAACCAACTTTAGATAGTATCTTGAAAAAGAAGAAAGAATATATGCCCCCGAAATTTATGAGTGTTGCTGAGGCCGCCAATCAATTGACTCAAATTATTGAGAGAAAAAGAAGTGCCGTCAATAATTTAGGTAAGTTTAATTATTAGAGGCCTTGGATTATACAACTTTTTCCAAATTTTTTCGACTTTTCATTCATTTTTCACTAAATGTTTCCAACAAAACACGTCTTTTTTAGTACAGAGTGCAGATATTGTCAAATCTTCTCGATTTCAATTACACCGGATCACAAATTTTTTTTCGACACAATGTTAAAAAACCTTCAATATTATCGAAAAAAGTACTATTTTTTTAATACAGGGTCAAAACAAATTTTTTAAAATTAAAAATCGATTACCGGCATAGAAATCTACATTATCGACTGATGGTAAAACATGAAAATGAAAATATAAAAATTACCGCCATATAAATCTACATTACCAACTGATGGTAAAGAGAAAGAATTGTTTAAATTTTTTTTGAAATTTGTCGTACCATCAGTCGGTAATGTAGATTTCTGTGGCGGTAATTTTTTATATTTCATTTTTCTGTTTTACCATCAGTCGGTAATGTAGATTTCTATGCCGGTAATTTTTATATCATCATTTTTCTACTTTTACCATCAGTCGATAATGCAGATTTCTGTGCCGGTAATCGATTTTTATTTAAAAAAACAAGTTTTTACCTTGTATTAAAAAAATATTACTTTTTTCGATAATATTGAAGGTTTTTTTAAACATTTGTGGTCCCCCATGCTTACATTTAAAAAGTGCCATACGGCATCAAAAAATAGACAAATTTTACTGTAATTTTAATAAAATGAGAATATTTTAAAAATGCAAATTTTAATTTAATGTGAATAAAATTTTGATTCCAGCTTTCGATGAAGAAAGTTTAGCGATTGGCTTGGCACGAATTGGATCAGGGGATCAAAAAATTTTGGCCTGTAGTCTTACGGAAATGAGAGATATTGAACTAGGACCTCCACTTCATTGTCTTGTGATCCCTGCCGAAAAACTTCATCCACTTGAGACTGAATTTCTCGAACAATTCAGAATAAAGGGAAATGTAAAATAATTCAAGGTCGCTATTTAAGAATTTGAACTATTCCAGATGCTGTAATTAGAAATGACCTAGAGAGTGAGAAAATCAAGTGTGCGAGAGGAACATTTTACGATATAGATATTTTTTCAGTTGCAAGATACAAAAATATTTTAATACATCCGCTCAAGAAAGAACCAAAATAACATATTTTATGCGTAATCTACAAGAATGGAAAAATCTGAACTGACATTTTGTAAATTTTTAAATTGAAATGAAATTTATTAAAAATTACAAGTGAAAATTAAAATGAATTGATATTTAAAAATATAATAATTTGGTTATCATAACTCCACAAAAAAAATTTATTAGAGAATTTCATTTTCTGGAAGCATCTTTCTTCTGTTAAAAGGTCAGTTATTAATTTTTTATTATAAATTTTCATTAAAGATAAAAATCAATAAATAAAAATTAATTTTTTTTTAAATTTTTCTTATTCATTTGTCTTGAATGTTTTTTTTAAATATTAAGTAAAACTAAAAAGTTCTTTTTTTAACAAAGTAGATACTGTTATGATTGTAAGAAAGATAAAAAAAAATATTGAACGACGAAAAGCACTCGAAGATTTATTTGCGGGTCATCAATCTCTCAGTCTTGTGGCTGTTTTATTGTGATTGTCTACAAGTTGCGAAATCTAATTTAGGATAGACTTCAACTTAAAAGGTTAAGCACGTTTGTTGCATAGCATTTGAACGCTGAAGATCCTCTTCTATTATCTATAAATAGTTAAATTAATCTGTTTATTTAGCACTTAAATGATTCATTGATCTGGAATTCGAGTTCTCGAAGTGAAAAAAAGAATTTAGATCGTCTCGATATCGTATCTTAAGAGTCTCAATACAAAAAAAGCCGTTGCCAATTAAATTTTGTTTTATTCAATGCGAACATACTACCAGATGAATAATAGGTTTTGTTTTTATAGATTTCAATTTTATTAAATAACGTGCAATTTGTAAGAAAACTCGAACGAGATTTTATTAAATTATTACTTATTCTATATTTTTGTAATTTTTTTCTACTTTTTGTTCGTTATTCTTTATTGTTTTTTTATTTTTGCCTAAGTAGATTTTTGCGTGGCTTTTCTTGGCGGTCGTCACACTTAGTTGTAGACCTCTCATGACCCTTGATAGCATCTTGCCAAAGAATGGCTTCGTGTTGGCGTTGGTCATGGCCGGAATTAAATTAATGTCCCTCATTCGACTCAATTCTTTTTTTTTTATTAAAATAAAGTTTTGAATTTGGTTATATTTGCAATTAGTTTAACGCTATCAGAATTAAATCAAATAAAAATTGTATTACAATAAAATTTAATTAAAAATTACAAGTTCAAAAAGTCAAAACATAGGTTAAAATTCCGGATGTTTCAGTAAATCCGAGTTGTTGCATACTATTTATGGATAGATTACATACAAATACTGTTGTGTCGTATACAATGATTTAACTGAAGAATTGCGGATATAATTTCATGTTAATTCACGTTGTTAATTCCGGATGAATCTTGGATTTGACTCTTCGTCTGGATTAATTGCTGACTAATACCGATTATTTTCTGATTGTTTTCGTATAATTTCCAGACTACACCGAATTGATGTGTTCGGATTTAATTTGAAAGTAGTCCGAAATTTTAACCAGGGAATCTATTTAGATTGATATAACAAGAATGATATGAAAAAATCAAAAATTAGTGTAGACAAAACGAAAAATCTGAGAAAAGTTCGAAGTAGACCGAAACTTTTATGAAATCAGTAAGACTCTGATTTTAAGTAGATCGAAAAAATTAATCTTAAATGAATCCGTAATAGGGACCGTCATAGAATGAAAACAAAATTCAAAAATACTTTTGTTTTGTTTCGGACTAAGTTATCACAATCAAAAGTCAACTTTGTTTAGTTTTAATTTGGATATCGGAATAAGAATAAAATATTTAGTTTAAATTCCAATAACTGAATCAAAAGTAATCTAGACTTTTGTTTCGATAACAAATCAGAATTAAAATTCAAATTCATTTATGTTTCTATAAGATAACCGAAAGTAATAAGAAGTGGAATTTTGTTTCATTATTGAATTAAAATACAAATACGTTTCGTTTCCGAATATCAAAACAAAAACAGAATTCGACTTCTGTGAAAGTCTGGAGTACTCCGAAATTTGTATGTGAAAAATTTGATATTATAGTCAGCAATAATCCGGTCATACTTTAAATAGATTAACCGCAGTTTATAAAATAAGTATATATATATATATTCAAAACATCTTTGTTTCGGACTACAGTAGAGTCTCGATTATCCGAGGTAATATGGTGAAGAGGCGCCTCGGATAAGCGAAAACTCGGATAACACGGAATAAATACCTAAAATTCAAAAATTTTAATCATTTTTTTATGTATTTAATATGCTACAAAGAAAATTAATCACAAATGTATATAAAGGTTAAAATCTAATGAACGTAGATTAACTTTTGGTTATATTTATTGTTAATTCATATCGGTTCCATCCGTTTTATCCGAATTTTTCCGTATTATCTGAGCATGCACCTCGTGTTTAGTGCCTCGGATAATACGGAATCTCGGATAATCGAGATTCTACTGTAATACCAATTTTGTAAATGCAGATTTTTATAATTAAGATTTTAGACCTAACTAAATACGGATTTCCAATTATTTCTGACTCCTTTTTTAATAAGATTTTTATGTAACGCGGCATTTTGTCACGTACAAATGATTTAAAAATAATAAATTTTATAAATAAACGACACCAGGGTGAGAATCCAGCCTTAATGGCTGTAAAAAATGTTATAAATTATAAAAATTGTTTTCTTACGATACTCACTATCTATCATTAAAATTAGAAGTCATCAAGGGAAGAGCTTCCTGGTGTATATATTTAGCTGAAAGTCCCGAATATTCAAGAACACCAGGAAGACGAAATTGCTGTTTTGTTGACGATCTGTCAAATCAATACTGGTAGTCAATTTCCATTTTACTCTCATTCTCTTCCTGGTATTTGGAGAGTCAAGTTATGCTGTATTTTTTTTTCGTGTAAAATATTTAAAAGGACCCCGCACTAAATACACAGAAAAAGGCTTACGGTTAAATTTGGCTATATTTTGAGAATTTTTAGTTGAAAGTGTTCTGATTGAAAAAAAAATTGTCCAGAGGTCACTGAATTAATTTTTTTAATAATAGTTTTTTTATAATATTCACTTTCGAACAAGTGATTTGCCCACTTAGATACGTAAATTCATTAGGCGCAGCGTTGTTTCGACAATTTTTTTAGCTAAACTATTTATTCAGTGTCCTCCGGACAATTTTTTTTTCAATCAGGACACATTCAACTAAAAATTCTCAAAATATAGCCAAATTTAACCGTAAGCCATTTTCTGTGTATTTAGTGCGGGGTCTATTATAAAAATAAGATGAGTCGTCTTCGTCAAATGGACGGTGAGTCTCAATAAATTAATTAGGAGTCATTTCATTCAAAATCGATCTCATTATTATTAAAGAATAATTATTATTTTATTATCTTATAATAATCTTTGTATTCATTCCTTCCTTCATTCTTTTACATTTTCTTAGCACTTGAAATTTCTCGTTATTATTAGATTATATATAAATATATATACACATATATATATATATATATCTTTGCTTTGATAATGAGGGTTCTCGAGGGTTTCTACCTGCAATTTGTTTCGTCAAAAACAGCCTTCTGTTGAGGGTTTATTTTCAATTATTGTTTACATATATAAGATGGTCGATGATCGTTTAATTACTGTTCTGTAAGGGGAAGTGGTCTCCCTCATCTTACCAGCCGCGCCCGAGCTATAACCATGTCGTTATATTGGAGAATCAAAATCAAGAAGAAAATATTTGGTGCCAGCACCTTTGGGTTAAATTGGTTTAAAACACATCGTATAGGTTTATTGTACCAAAATTATAAAACTTTTGAATATTAACATTTATATTTGGAACAACATATGCTCGTAATCGTGAAATTCTGAGAAATATGTCAAAATAAATAAAAAAATTGAAAGAAAATTACAGGAAAATTATTTTATTTTAACGTATATAAATATTTAAATAATCGTGAACGGAACCCTAAGTAAGCGAGTGTAATGAAATGTTAAATGATATGCATATGTATAAATTTCAAGAATTATTAAAAAATGATTCAAATTCTTTTTTCATTATGCAAAGTACTTTGTATTTACAAATGCTTGATTTAATTGTTCCAATTAGAGAAAGAGATAAACATATTCAAATAGTTTTTAGTGGTAATACGATTTTGGTTATTGGATTTGTGTCTATTACGATGGAATAAAACTTTATAGTTTTGAAAGTCTTAATGCAGGGTGTTTAAATGTTCTTCTAAGTAGAATATTTAATTAGATTGTTCCCTTTTCAACCAACAGTAGTTTTTGAAGCTCTTGATCAACAACCGATTGGTACAGTTATGTGTGAAGTATATGAAATAGCATTTGCAACATCTGTATTGGTTAACAGTGTAAATTAAAAGATTAATTTATGAAACTGATAATAATATAATGAGCAAGCATTTGATAATATTTTTTGAAAACAATTAATTAAATCATTTTCCGGCAGTTAGAATGTCTAATATTAGGATTTCGATTTGTAGAGAATGATTGGAATTGTCTTTTCATAAATCGAGCTGTTACGTCACGGCATGGAAATAAAGGTTAAAAGAAAAACTAAAAATTCGTCACCAAAATTTCTAATTGATATCGCAACATATAAATAATTTATTATAAAGAATAAAAAAAATAATTAAAGAAAAATCAAGAACTTAACCTCAAAATTTAGACAATTAAATTTATATCCTTTATTATATATTGAATTCTATTCTTCGAGCGGCTAAAAAATAGAATTTGTTGGATCTTGTTACTTACAAAGAGTTGAAACTCACCTTATTATTGTTATTAGAGGAATAAATAATAAAATAGGAAGGAAAAAGAAAATAGGTTAGGTTGTATTAAAATTTGTTTGTTTATTTACCGAACTTACGCACACAATGAGATTTCTCGACGAAACACATTTAATACACAGAATTCACATATAAGAACAATTAAGAATTTTATTGATAACTTCAATATCTATAAGCCAGAAGGGTAAAATTATGAAATTAATAAGTTTAAAAAGAATACAATTTGACAAGATAAAATTTCAATGAATTTTAAAAGTTAAGGTAAAACGGTATATTCACGAAAACGGAGATTAGATCCTATCCTGAACCAAATATTAATTCTGATGATTTATACAGTTATAGGAGATCACTGAGATTTGGACATGCTACAAATCTTAAATTCGAACCTTTAACAAATAGGAATTATACAGTGATAAGAGAGCGCGTTTTCAGTCCAAATCTCGTTGAAAATCCTAAGGTCGAACCTCAAAGAATTATTGGTTTAGGAAGGGAACCAATTCCGATTTTCGCGAACAGGGACCGAAAAAAGACTGATTAAAAGAAGTTGGACGACGCTCCGGGTAACCGCGTCGTTCATTCCCACTCTCAAGAAAACTTGCAAAAAGTAAAAGGTGGAGGGAAAATTTTGGAAAAAGGAGAAAATTAAGGTTTCTGATTTGCTGAAAACAACATAAAAATCACGCCCTAAAAATAGAAATTTGAGTATTAAAAACCCTTAGAGTTTTATTTATTGAGATCTTAAAATTTAGGGATTAAGATCCATGTGTGTATCAATACTCTTTCTAGTTTAGGCGTTTTCTCTATTGAAACAGCTTTATGGTATTTTTTTATTAAAAGAAAAGGATTTTGCGTGTTTCCTGAAAATGTGAACGGAAAAACCCAGGAACCAGATTGTCGAACATTTATCCTTTATGTAGAATAATAAATTAAAATGTTGAAATTCTAAAGGTGTGTCAAAATTGTATAAAAGAATAAATTGAGTAAAAATAATATTAATATAAAATCAGTAGAAATAATAAAATATAATATTCATTCATACAACATTCTTTTACACGGGGAAAACATTCTTACTTACACAACAATACATAATTAAAATATAATTAGATCTTAAAGTAGGACATTCTGCATCCCTCATCCTAAGACAAATTTCAAAAAAAAGAAAAGTGTGAGGTTTTGACATACCGGGACGTCACAGAGCTAAAGAACTTCAAAATGGTAGTCGAAACCTTTTATATTTTTGTTAGACTTTTGCCAGTAAAAATGACAACAGAGTTCTGTCTATTGAAATTGAGAATGAAAAGAAAATACCCAAAGAAAAAAATTTGTCATGTAAGATAAAGAAATTATCTACAGAAATTGAAGAGGGATTTACATGTTGATATAAATTCAGAATGCACAACAGAAAATAATGAGAAAATAATTTCGAGTCTTATTCTTAGTGAAAATTTTGATCCCATGACATATCCTACAATGTTTCCTTATGGTGATCCTGGATGGACTGTTAACCTTAAGCATACTCAAGGTACTTGTAATTTTATTCATTTATAATTTTATATGTATTGTCTTTCATAGAGAAGAAAAAAGCGGGGATTGCCACATGTGCGTTTAATTATATTTATTTAATTATATTAGAATCCAGTACCTTTTAACATTATAAAACGATTTTAAGTTCATGGGCCTTGTGGTAAACAAAATAGGAATTCACCCTGCATGGATCCTTAGATGGGTCAATTAAATATATTGCTAACATTTCGACGATCGTAGCATATAATCTTTAGTTGAGTACAAAATTTAAAGGTCATATTGACTGTGCAATAATAGGTATTATATTATTATAACACCATAATGTTGAAATAGTAATACAGTAACGATTTCAAAAATAACATTATTAATTTTGTGAGATAAAAATTCCAATAACTTTTCGTCAAATAAAAATAAATTTTTAATTTATCATAAAAAATTACAGATATCACGCGCGTTTCTTTTAGCTAGTTGAATAAATAAAATATAAATATTGTCTTTCGGCCTTCTGCCATTATTTCACTTTTTCTAAAATTTGAAGTGAATATTAATAAATAGTGTTATTCTTATTAATTTTGTCTAATTAATGGTGTTTATCTTTATCCACCTCTCTCCGCGGTCTATTGTTGCTGTAAAGTAACAATGGAATTCTTGAGCTGGTTATAGTTTTTCCTAATTAGCATTATAAAATTTAGTTGTTGGGTTATTTCACTATTTTTCAGGTTTAGTTATTTTCCAAAAAATAACTTGGCGTCTTGGCAAAATTAATAATTAAAAAGTGTAGATAACGTAGATTGTCTTGAAAATGTAATAAAAAAAATTTTAATTAAAAATAAAAATTAATAGAAAATTAAATTCTATGTTTTAACATATAAATTCCTGATTATTCTGAATACATTTCGCTTTGATTTCATGTCAATTTCGGACTGTTTTTGGATTTGTCTTTTGGTTCAGACGGATTACTGACTAATACGGTTAACACAGTCACATAAAAGAATTTGATGTTCTGAGCTTTTGATCAGACCATGACTACTTTATGTTTACGGGGTCGCTGAAACCAAATCTGAAGTCCGTTTAACCCCATCACGTCAGGAGTTTGAAATAACCTCAAAAAACACCAAAATTTGACACCAAATTTTTGAAATCAAGAAAAATTTATATCTCCATGTCTTATTATGACTACTTTATGTTTTTGTGGTCGCTAAATGCGAATCTGAAGTCTATTTAACCCCAATAAGGTCAGTGTTTTGACATAACCTCAAAAAATCAAAATTTAGGGGCTTTTTGAAGTTATTTCAAAACCCTGACGTAGCACGGTGCGCCAGAAGGAGGTTTAAATAAAAATGAATTGGCACTTAAAAATTCTTTTTGATTATGGTTCAAAGATGAATAAAAAACTTTTCTCAATAGGTTTTAAAATCAGCTTACGTGCCTAATTTAAAACAAATTGAGTTTTAAATATTTAAAAATATTATTTTATGAGGAACCAGAATTTATTTAATGTATACTTATATGCGTGTAGATAACAGATGTTTTAGATTTGGGTTCATATAAATTTATTAACAATGAAGTTATTTTCTTGTTTCGTTTTTATATTTATGCATTAAGACTGTCGAACGGTATCTGAAATTCTTTGGCAAGAAGAGGGCTCTAATTATCGCTCTGAACGTGAAATAGTATTGATTTTAAAATACTTTTTTCTCGAAACAGGAACACTTTTAACAAAATCAGCCAAAATCCTCATCTTATAAATTTCCTAAATCCAAAAGACTGTACGAATCCATAGAAAAACATGGTTACAAAACAAAAAGCAGAAAAGTAATCTAATAACAGCTGCGACTTTGTGCGCCCTGCATGCTGCTGCCATCTGACGGCGGCAGGAGGTAATGAACCCCTCATTATATTACTTTTCGTTTTGCAATCGTGTTTTTGTATGGATTCCTATAATCTTTCGGATTTAGGAAATTTATATAAGATAAGGATCTCTAGCTACTTTTGTAAAAAGTGTCCGTCTTTCGAGAAGAAAGTAGTTTAAAATCAATGTTTATCATTTTCACGTTTAGTGCCGTTTTTATAGAGCGATAATTAAAGGTCTCTTCTTGCCAAAAAGTTTCAGAGATCATTCGACTCTCTTAAATAAATTTTGTCACTCTTAAAATCGTTCTTTTAACATTATAATTTAATTTTTTAAAATTGGACACAAACACTGCAGCTCAGAACATCAACTTTTTTTTGTGTGCCAGTGTTATTTGCGGATTGATTTCGTACAGTGTCCAGACTTAATTTGTCATCATTTCGAAATTTTTATCAGGGTACATGAGTCAGTATACTTTTTAAAAAAAATTAAGTATGCAATAGAAATCAGAGAACACAATTATATTCCATTTCATGTTTGTTTAGCGTATTTAAAGAGTGAAAAACAGAGAGAATTTCAAAGAATCAGTTTCATCAGATAAATAAGTTTGTATAGAGGGTTCAACCGGCTGATTCTTGGAGATACATATACTATGTTTCGCTGTCAACCCTTTAGAAATGAAATCTCAAACTAGTCGAAAGTATACATATATATATATATATATATAACATTTGCATCGACTGTAGTATAATACTTCTTTCTTATAGTCACGTGGCCATGGAACCCGCACCTAATCGATGGAAAAGCATCGACCGCCCCCTGACGAAGGTGAAAACCGTTGTCGTTGTTCAGTCAAACGAAGAACCTCCACCTGCAACTTCCCTTAAACCTGTTTTTAATTTTAATTCTTTTGTTTATTGAAAGGAACGTGCAAAATTTTTTAAATTATTTTCTTAAAAAAAAACAGATCTTCTAGAGGTACGTTTTTATTTTATTATAGTGATCGCATTGTTTATAGATTTATAATTGTCTAGAAATTTTTTTTTATTGTTTTTATCGTATATCTACCTATAGACGAATCGTTTAATACGAGTAGAGATGAACTTTCTGATAAGGAAGTTCAAAAAATGAAAACCGGCTAATTTTTAATTTTTTTTTTGCTTTTCATAACAAATAAATAAAAAAATGTTACTTGAAATTTTTTATTTAATTAAATAAAATTAATTAAATTTTGCAAAATTAAATTCAAATTTAATTTAAATTTACAAAGAATGGGTGAAAATAAATATTGTCAAAAAAAAAAAACTAATTTTTTTTGTAGAATAAAGTTCTCAAAAGGGAATTGATTTTCAGCTCCGAAACAATTCAAATGTTTATTGAAATTTTATTTTTTTTAAATGTATTGTCCTTGGTGATCATAAAATGAAATATATAAATTTTGATGTTAACGTTAATGAAATATCGATTATTAAATTATAAAAAGAGAATTTATATTGAAAAGAAATATTGGAATTTTTTTTTATTTATTGTCAATCTTCTTTATTTCTAAATTTAACTCGTTGGTTGTTTTTATTAAAAAATTTGTTCTTGAATTTTATATACCTATATATAAAGTTTTTATGTAGATAAAACAATACTGAAAAAGTAAGTTTACGTTTCCTCGAAGTTTGAAAATGAAAAATCGATAGAGAAATGCAATTTTTTTAAACCTTTTTTTTCAGAATTTGTTAATTCATTAAATTTTTTTATTATTATTTAAATTTAAATAAATTTAAAAAAAAATTATAATATTTTTATAATATATTTCATTAATAATATCCTGTATTAATTATGGCCCTACGAGTGTTGAGTTTATAGGTTTATAGTTTATAGTTTATAGGGTAAATGTACTAATTTCGGCGCGATTCGAGTCAAAATACCATTGAAATAGAAAATTCAACATTTCTATTGTATAAGGTCAATTTAAGACTTATTAAACTAAAAGGTTATGTTATTTAAATATTTAAAAAAATTTAACTTCAAAAAAATCGATTATTTCAACAAATATGAGAAATTAAAACTAATACCGTAAAAAAATATTTTTTCAATAATGTAACAACAAAAAATTGCGTAACATTTTTTTAAAAAAATTGTTTTCACTCAGAAATATTAAATACAACATATAAATGTAAATATTAAAATATTAAAAAAATAATAAAAAAATAAAAAATATTTAAAAAAGAAATCATTCTTTTTTTTTGAAATATTTCAATGAAATCGTCATTGAATTCTAAATTTGTGAATCATAAATGATAAAGGCGTGTACACGTGCCTTCCTCGCCCCCTTTTCACCCTCGAAGTAAATATAAAAGATCATAAACTTTACTAGTATAGTCAGCGGAGTCACGATGAAAGAGATTTCCGCAAAATTCCACGGCTAAAAATTCGTACAATAAACATTCAATCAGATTGAACTGATGCGCTTATATATATATATATATATATATATATATATATATGTCTATCCGAAGTTCTAAAAAAAATTTTCCCTTGTTTCTTATTTTTTTAGTTTCTTTTTTTGCCACAAATCAAATTAACGAAAAAGTTTTCTAAATCAACTTATTTAAAGTTTCTATAAATAAGTAGTTAAAAAAAAGTTATAAAATTATTTCTTATAATTTAAATTAAGAATGACACACAAGAATAATTTGTTACAAATAGTAATTAAGAATTTTAATTGATCGCGTGTTTACTTGGTTTTTGTATTTCGCAGTTGCGGTTTAGAGACTGATTGATAATAATTATATTGTTTACTTCTTGAAGGACAACAAACATTTATATCCGTCAATTAAAAAAGAAAAAAAAAATTTTCCCTAAAAATTTATAAAAAAAAATTTTTTTTTTATTTAATAGTTTTTTTTAGTTTTTATTATTTATCTTTAAATTAACCTACCTATAAAATTTGCAATAATAGAAAAATCGATATTTTACTATCGGCAGCGTGAAACTATCGATTTTGAAAGTCACAAAATGTATTAATGTTTCGCAATATATTTAAAATTATTTTTCATATTAAATTAAATAGTAATTTTAAATTTAATAATTGAATCAAAAATTAAAAAATAATTGAAAGAAAATATGAAAATAAAAATTGAAAATAATTTTTTTTTTGTAAATATATTTTGCGGTGAAATCTGTAGATGATTGGTGACGAGGAAACTAAATAAACCTGTCATTAAACCGAAAAATTATTTTTAGCCTAATGACGTCAATAAAATCGATTCAGGGCAAAGATTAGCATTTTAGAATCATCCATAAATAACTTTATAAGTTGTCTAGGACTTTTGATTTATTAGAAAATACTGTTTAGATCACGTGTATATTGTTTACTATACCATGTTTTTAATTTTCAAAATCGAATTTTCAATTTTTTTTGCGGTTTGAAAAGCTATTGAACTTGAAATAGATGTAAATTGAAAAAATTTGATAAATACAATAAATATAAGTGATTTAATTAATTAATTTCATTAATCTAATTAATTTATTACTGTTGTAAAATTAAAATTTTTTTTATAAATATAATTCCAAAATTATTTTCATTATTTTTCTCAATATTCTAAAAATCGGAGATGTGAGAAAAAAATTTGAAATAATAACAAAAATTGATCTTATTTTCTGCAAAAATTGACGATAATGAATATTTTCCAAAGATATTAGAAACATTTTAATGACATTTAAAACTGCTGAAATGTTTAAATCTATGAATAACTAAGTTTTAGCTCTATGTACCTCTTATGACGACAAGAATGTTTATTCATGCTGTCGTCAAGGTTGACTCTTTGCAAACTTTACAGTCCGCAAAATATATATACAAAATGTACTTCAAAGCATTATTTATACACTTATGAACTGTCTCAATAGTTTCTGAATTAGCATTCTATCTTACATTTGAACAGAAAATCTAAAAAAAAAATGCACAAAATAAATTACATAAATGAAATTTTTTTTCACAAAAATTAGATACAACTATAAAAATAGTTAAAATTATTTTTATTATAACTTTTTTTATTATATTTTATTAAAAATTTTTATTATAACTTTTTTTATTATATTTTATTTAAAAGATTCGGATTAAATCCACAAAAACAGTCCGGTTTAATCTGCGGAAACTATACGAAAATAATCTGTATTAGTGAGCAATCAATCCGGACGAATATTTAAATCCGATATCTTTTCGAAATAGTCTAGAAATGACATGAAATCAATCTGTAATTATATTTTGAAAACAATCTGATTTTGGTTTGAATATTATTAATCCAAAATGAGTCCAGAATAATCTGGAGTTAATACTGTCAAGCAAATCAAAATTCCCGCGGTTGGTTTTTCTCTTTCTTCTCGAAGTTGGTCTGAAAATTCTAGAAAAATGACAAAAATTAATAATATTAAAATTTTTCCAACAAAATCCATTAGATTCACTTTAAAGAAACGTTCCTAAAACGTTTGATGTACGTCAAAATAAAGTATTAAAAGCGTAAATGACGTTTTTGACACATCGCTAAGTAGAAAAATGAATGTAATAAAAGATGTAATTGTATCATAATTGCAAAATTTTAAGTGGCCCAACCATCACTATCACGTCGTTTTACTTTTTTATTACACAGACAAAAAAGCATGATACAAACATCAAATAAGGCACCACATTTTCAAAGAATTGCCAAACGAATAAACTTAGTCAACTTACATTACTGTTTGCATCTTCTTCTTTTGTTTAATTCATTTTTTCGGACATCATAAACAAGTTTTCCTTTTAATCTTTAGTGCACTTTTACAAAACATGTCTATACAAATTACGCATTTCACTGAGACTTGCTAAAAGTGATGTGAAAAGTTTATTACTATCGCTTTAAGTACTTACATGTAAAGGTAGATGGCGCTAATGTGAAAGGGTTTTAAACCCCTACTAATAACGGTTTTTACATTTATTTTTGAATTTTCAGAGAATTTATTATTATTTTATTAATACAGTTTATTAATTAACAATAAAAGCACTAGTTAACTACACTTTTAATTACTTTATTTACGAGAGCCAAGACGCCAAGTAATTTTACAAAAAAAATAACCGGAAGAAAACATTTAAATAACCCGAAAAATAAATTAATTTATTTTTACTAATAACCAGCACAGGTACTCTATTGTTACTTTATGGTTGCAGTAGAAAGGAGGCGGTAAGGAAAAACACCATTAATTGCACAGAATTTACAATTACATTATTTATTAATAATTGCTTAAATAAATAATTGAATTTATCACTCGGTTGCCTTAATTAAAATTTTAATAATTGCTTAAGTTGGGTTTAATCCCGATTGTTAATTTATTACTTAGTTTTAATTCGGCAAAATTCCGAGTAATTAAAACGTGTCTGAAGAACGAAAATACAAGATTCTTTATTTAATTTTACTTACAATTTTTTTAATAATGACGAAGACGTTGCGTCCCATTATTATATGCTTTTTATAATTATTTCGCAAATAAATGTAGAACATTCAGATTAATTATAATATTCAATTTAATATAATATCCGCTAGATATCGATAACCGATTCGTGGCTGTCGTTAACGCAGATCCCGTAATTATTCGATGTTGAATTGATTGACGATAAAAGTTCACAGGAAAATGGCTGCAGAAATATTTTGACAGATCGTCAACAAAACAGTGATTTTATCTTCCTGGTGCTTTTAAATATTTGGGATTCATATCCGAATATATACACAAGTAAACTTGATAACTTCTTAATAACTTCAGATTTTCCAAGATCGCAAAAATGATGATTTTGCATATATGACCTGAACAGCGCCTAATTTGTTTTACGTGTAAGATCTCCATATACATGTATACAAATACGGTCCCCCACGAGACATGGGGTCAAGAGTTCAGTTAATGCAACTCACACACCGAATGCGAAAGACGTGTGCACAAAGTGCTAACGCACGCTAGCCTCAAGCGATGTAGGCTGTAACCAATGCCACCACGAATTCATACCCAATGCCTGGCGGAGAGCCGAAGGTCTCCTGGGCTCCAGACACAAACCCGTGATACCGTTCTACTCAGGTATGAGTACCACTTTCCAGTATCCAGGGAACCTGAGGCCATACTGGGGGTCGGTTACCGTTAAATACGACAACATTATGAAAAGCAATGGATGCTTGCACACTATCCGAGAATTTTTCGGTAGTTTTTCCAATTCTACGTGAACTCTATTAGAAAAATGAAAAATTTGAATTTTCTTATTTGTTTATAACAATTTGTGTAAACAAAGTAATTTTTTAAACAATATTTTATTTAAAATTTTTTTCTAAACCATAGAGGTAAAATACTCTCTGATTCTGAACAGCTTTCAGAAAAGATATGTTTGTTAACTCCATAATTAAAATATCATTAGGCTCATAGATTCAGGTAGTTTCCGATTTTTACAACGCATAAACAAGGCGTCGACGTAGCAGACAAGCTGTGACAACTATATTTTTAATATTCATTTTTTAAAAGCAAATATCAAATTATAATAATACTTTGCTGCACACTGTACTCGGGCTAACGTGCGACTGTAATCATATCTGAAAGAATTCCTTCGCATACCTGAAGTTTTCGTAGGATGATCAAATGTCGTATGACAAAAATCAGACAGTGTGTAAAACTCGTTCCACGGCGGATATGACCTGGACAGTGTAAAAGGGACTTACGTGCAAAAAAAATTAATTTTTTATTGATTGGTGATTGTGATAGAAAAAAGTTTTCTATATCAGAATCACCAATCAATAAAAAATCGATTTTTTCGCACATCATAATGTTTTGTTTCAAATTCATTCTTTTTTCAAAAAAATGTTTTTATATTGCTACTATTTTAAAAATTTTGATTCCGAAATTTTAATATACATATTTACACTGATATTACACAATTATTCTCTTCTTTAAACGTTTTTATATTTATACTATTAAAATCTCTCTATCGACAATGGTGGCGCCAAGCTCCTAAACATAAAATATAGATAGGTAGCACCATTTTGGGTCTACTGTTTTCCCTTGTGGGAGCACACACCATAAAAAATGTTGTATTCAAACATTTTTGTTGGGATTATTAAATATATTAGAGAAATAAATCAAAGGTTTAAAAGACAATGAGAACACAACAAATTACAGTTACACATTTATTCAATAAGCTAGAAGAATAAAATGTTTTACACGTGATTCAATAGTGTGTTAATGAGTGACAATAATACTGATGCTTATCGGACGTTGTTGTAATAAGTCGGTGTCCCTTTTGACGGCTAGGACCAGACCGAGTTGTCCTTTAAAGATTTGGAAAAGGTTTTGTAGTGTCAGGTATTGAAGGAAAATGTTTGTAGTGGTGTAAGTGTATTTGTAATAGTGTGCTTAGTCGTTGTATTCCAACAATTTTCATTAAAAATATTTCAAATAAATTATTCACTTTTCAGACATATATTTTTCTTAAAACTTTAAAATTAAAAAAAATTGAATGTTTGGATAAGTTTAATCATTTTTGATTTGTAACAATGTTAGATCAGATTATGATGGGATTGTTCCAAAAAAAAAATTTTCACGTATACAAATTCCGGACTCATTTCAGATTAAGTTTTTTGAATGGTCTAAAATAAATTTCTTATGGACTGTTTTCGTAAAAGTTTCAAGCTCCCTACTTAACACAAACTTTTGCGAGTTAAAAAATACAAAATTAAATGTATTATGAAAAGTCGTCTTTTATTCATATGTATATTTAAAATGTTAAAGAACATTAGTCGTATCTTTTAATTTGGTACATAAAATAATTAATTTAGATTTTTGTCGTTGACAGTGTTGACGGACTTATATGAAATTTCAGTGCAGTAGTATCGTTTGTACCTGACACTATCAACTTCACAGAGAAATTTTTACTTTTCTTTCTAAATCAATTGAAGTTCGTTTTCTTTTCGACAATTTTGAGACCGAATTGTCACTTCTCCCAAAGCAATCAATGTATCTAAAAAATAAGTAAAAAATATCGAAATTTCAGTTAACAGTATTCCATTCATTCAGTAAAAAAAAAAGACGTTGAACTGAATCCAAAGAATCGTTTTTTATTGAATTTTCAGCTCGCAGTAAAATGGCGACCTCAACGGAGGATTTAAATATTCCGGAAGGCTTCCTGGTGGCACCTCGAGTACCTCAGGGATTGGCAGCAGCCGTGGAAGGTCTGACTCGCGAGGTGATTCGCCAAAGACCGGAAGACATTTATGTTTTTGCAGCTCATCATTTTGAGAAACTTCTTCATCTTCGCGAAGCTTACGGTGTAACGAGAAGTCTATCGGTGGATGAGAGAAATATTCAAGCACTTCGTGATATGAGTGAGGCTCTAAGAAAGAGAGACGCATTTCGAGAGGAGAGAAATTCACGAGATTTCGCATATCAAAGTGGTTGGTCGTTAAACGAGACAGCTAAAGTTCTCGAGCGTCATAGAAGTATTTTCGGTGAAGAGGGACAAAAAATAACCACCGATGAGGTAAGACAATTGGCTTCTGAGAAGGAGAGAGAGAAAGTTGAACATTACCGTCGACATCGTTCGTTGGAAAAACGAACAACGAGAAAAAAAGATGAAGGTAATGTAAGGAATGGTTTAAAGTTAATTTCGCAAATTCCTACTCTGCCTGGTAGCACTGTAAAGGATATTAAAAGTGAGTTGAGGAAGAATAGAATTAGCAGTCAGGAGAGGCGAACTTTTCTCGAGAAGACGGAATCGGAAAGTTTGAAAAGTAGTGGAAGAACTTTGGAAAGAAGAGAGATGGAGGAAGAAGGGAGGAGGAGACGTTTAGAAAGGAAATCAAAGGGTCTCAGTATGGATCGAGTGAAAGATTATGTAGTGAAGAAGTTTTCAACGACAAGGAGTCTTGAGGAGCTGCAGTCACCGACTTATGTCGAAAAGGTGCAAGAAGTTATCGATGAGACAGCGCCAATTATAAAAGGAAGAGTTGAGGAACTTAAGAATTCTATGAATTCGAAGAGAATTAGGAGCCTCGAATCGGAGAGATCCTCTAGTGATAAGTCAAGATCCAAAGAATCTAGTGGCAAGTCGGGAAGCGAAGAATCCGAAAATAGATTCCGAAGTAAAAAGTCCAGAGATGAGAAATCAAAAGAGAAAAAGAATAGGGAGGAGAGAATCAGTCGTTCAAGGATAAAGGAGCAAAAATTAAAAAGTTTAAAGAGTTCAAAAGCTTCTGAGGTAGAACCAAATGATTCTCTAGAAGATGTTGAGACTCTAAAATCGGAGGTGGAATCAATTGGATCGAAAAATGGATTGGAGATGAGATTAAATGAAACACAAACTCTTTTGGAGGGAATATCATCGGCGTTTACGGCTCCAATGAGAAGGTCTTCTTCTGCCAAAGATCTTCGAAATCGAATGTCGGAGGGTTCGGATGTTTCTTTTCCTGTTGTCAGGCCGCTGTCTTCTAAAGCTCATTCGAGAAGTGTTTCGCGAAGTGATTCTGCTAATTTTGTTCTACCTCCAATTTCTCCAGATGCTCCGAAATCTACCAAGATCAAGGAGGATTTGATATTGCCTGTACTGTCACGTCCCGGTAGTTCTAGTGTGGAAAAGGAAGCAGATGTGAGAATAAAGGAGGAGATAAGTGAAGAAAAAATTGTTGGAGAAGAAAATATTAGTGATACTAGTGGTAAATATGAAGAAATTGTAGATAATAAAAATTATAGTGTAGATAATGTCGATGATTCCTTACCTATGAGTCCGAAGGAGTTAAAAATTATAGACACAGAGATAGAGGAGGTATTTAGGGATAGTTTAAACGTAACACCGGAACCTTCTGAGACTCCATCGAGGCCGGATTCTTTGGAACCGGAAGTGCAAAAGGAAGACCAGCAATCGGATCTGAAGGAACAATTATTGGAAATTGAAACAGTGGAGAAGAATATACAGAGTCTTTTAGATCCTAAAGATAATTTATCTCAGGACGAAATAAGTATACGGAGGAAACTACAAGAGCTCGAAAATTCTGAACTGAGAATTAATGATATTTTGCAAGAAACAGAAAAACTTGAAAGTGTCGCGGAAAAATTAAAGACACTAGAGGAAGTGGAGAAACGAATCGATAGCTTTTTGGATGAGCCAGGAAATTTTAGAAAGGAAGAAGATTCCGGAGGTGCAATAATAGGGGAAGAGGAATTAGTTGATGGAAATTCGGAAAGTGAAGGAAAGGAAAAGAAACACAATACCGAGGAAGAGGAAAGTGAAGTTAAAAAAGAAAAAGATGAAGTAGAGGAGGAGGAAACGGAACAAGAAGAAGATAACGCAAATTCAGATAAAGAAGATAAATTCTACAAGGAGGAAGTAGAGGGTAATTTTATCCCTTCAATTCCTTATTCATTTGTGTTAACCGAAGGTTCTCCTTGTGAAATTCCAGATTCTGTGACAACAGTTATTATACCTGATAGAATTTCAACTCCAGATTCCGATATACTTGAAGTTGAAGTTGAGGATGGTGAAGTTCGATCAAGAATGACGCCAAATACCAATAAAATAGAAGATCAAGACGACGAGTTGTCTAATAAACCGGAAGCTTCGGATTTATATGTTTTTGGAGAAATTATCGAACCCGAACCAAAGAGTTCTTTGCATGATATTGATTTGATTACGAAAACCGGATACGATATTATGATTCCTCATCAAGATTTAGATCAAATTAAGGAGGAGGATGATAAAGATTTGGATCGAATTAAAGAAGAAGATAGTGAGGCAGTTAGAATTAAATCTGGAAGAGAAACGGAATTACAACAGATTGTGGAAGAAGTGCAGGATAAAATAGAGGAAGAGGTTAAAAATAATGTAGAGCAGATAGAGGAAGAGGTTAAAATAGAGAAAGATGATGATGTTCTGAAATCAGTAGATGAGACTGAAAATAAAGTAAAGGGAGATGTTGAGGATAAAGAACAAGAGGATCAGGATAAAACGAAAGACGTCAAGGGTAATGAGAGTGAAGATATTGATGAGGAGGAATTAAAGGTTCTTCAACTAATGACGTCGTCTCTTAAAGAAATCCAAGAAAGCGAGAATGGAGAAATATTACAGGAAAATGAAAATAAGAATCAAGATCTGTTTGAAGATTTATCAACGGAAGTGCAAAGGATAGCAGATTCAGAATCGACAGACGAAACAAAAGAAACGAGCATCACTGATGGGATTCAGGAGACAACGGATGTTGTGGAGAATTCCTTGGAAATTGAAGAAAGTACCGGTAGGTCAATAGAGTCAACAAATGAGGTTAAGGAGACTACAATGACTGATCAATCAAATACGAGTCTCTCTCTTGATCCAGGAATTCCTATTGTTCCCGAATTGAATTTAGATTCCCTTCAGGATATAACTGTTTCCTCATTTAAGCTGACCGATGAAGAAATAGAGAAAAAGGAAAACGAAGAAACTGAGAGTATTGTTTCGACGACGGAGCCAGAAATTTCTATCAATAATGAAAAAATTGAAGAGGAGGAAAAAGAAGAAGAGGATTATTTAAAAGGAAGTGAGGTAGATAAAGTAAAACCGGAAGAGGTTGAAGAAAATGTTGAGAAGGCGAGAGTTAGTAAATTAGAAAGCGAAGGGATTAAAGGTGAAGATATTGGAGAAAATGATAATAAAGGAAATGAGAATGGAGGGGTTGATATTGCTAAAGCAAAAGAAGAAGAAGAAGTAATTAATTCTGAAGAACTAAAAAAAGTAGAAGAAGTAATAAATTCTGATAGTTTTGAAAAGCAAAAAGTCATTGAAGAAATGGTTAAAGAACAGGTGGAAGTAAAAGAGGATCTTTGTGTGAAAGCTACATCTTATGTGACAACTTCAGGTGGTGAAGATGAAGCGGAAGAAAATAATAAAGACACAGCAGAAGAAGAAAATGAAACAGAAGATACTTTTAATAAAAAGTCAATATTAGATGAAGAAACTAAAGATCAAGTTCAAAAAGAAGAAAGAAAAAATGATGTAAATCAAGAAGAAGGAAAAATAAAAGTGGATGATGTAACAAAAGAAATGGACACAAAAGAAGAAATTTCGCTTCAAGACGAATTGAAAGAGGAATCTAAAGAAAATGATAAGGCATCAGTGGAAGGCGATAGAAAAGAAGAAATAGAGGCTAATGAAACTGAAATAGTGAAAGATGAGAATGAAATTAACATCAATGAAGAAAAAAATATTGCCGTTGAAGTAGAAAAAGAAAATGAAATTGAAGAGGGAAAAGAAGCTAGCGTTAAGGAAGAAAAAGATGCATCAGCTGAAGAAGGAAGAGTTTTTATTGAAGAAGAAAAAGAAGCAACAGTTGAAGATGTTACAGAAGTTAAACCCGAAAGTGAAAAAGAGACTGAAATTGAAGAAAAAGAAGAAACATTAGCTAAAGAAAAAGAAAATACAATTGAAAAGGAAGTTGAAGAAGAAACGGAGACTGAAATTGAAAAACAAGAAGAAGCTACAGCTAAAGAAGAAAATGAAACTACAATTCAAGAAGTTACAGAAGCAAAGCTTGAAGAAGAAACTGAGACTGAAATTAAAAATCAAGAAGAAGCTACAGCTAAAGAAGAAAAAGAAACTTCAATCCAAGAAGTTACAGAAGCAAAGCTTGAAGAAGAAACTGAGACTGAAATTAAAAATCAAGAAGAAGCTACAGCTAAAGAAGAAAATGAAACTACAATCCAAGAATTTACAGAAGCTAAGCTTGAAGAAGAAATCGAGACTGAAAAACTAGAAGAAGTTAAAACTAAAAAAGAAAAAGAAACTACAATCGAAGAAGATACAGAATCTAAGTTTAAAGAAGAAACCGAAACTGAAATTGTAAAACAAGAAGAAGATATAGCTAAAGAAGAAAAAGAAACTACAATCGAAAAAGTTACAGAAGCTACGAATAAAGAAGAAACCGAGACTGAAACTAAAAAACAAGAAGAAGCTATTAATGAAAAAGAAGCTACAATAGAAGAAGATACTGAAGCTAAGCTTAAAGAAGAAATCGATACTGAAACGGAAAGAAAAGAAGAATCTAAAATTGAAAATAAAGAAGAAACTGCAGCTAATGAAGAAAAGGAAACTACAATCCAAGAAGATACAGAAGTTAAGGACAATGAAGAGAACGAAATTAAAGTTACTGAAAAAGAAGCTGCAGTCGAAGAAGAAAATAAATTTGAAGCTGAACAAAGTATCAAAATTGATAACGAAAAAAATATTGAGACTCAAATTGAAAAAGAATCAGAAATTCCTCAAACTGATGCAAATGAAAAAGAAGAGTCAATTGAATTAATAGAATCAAGATCTGCAAGTCAATGTACAACACGACGTATTAATTCTGCAAATAATTCGCCAACGAAGGAAGAACATTTCAGTAATAGTGAAGAAATTAATAAAATTGAAAAAAACAATGATAATGAAAATGAAACACAAATTAACGAAAAAAATAACGATTTTGAAATTCAAGAAACAATAAAAGCCGATATTGTTACAAATGCCATTGATGATGATAATTTGGATGAAAAAAAAGAATATCATATTTATGTACCCGATTTAAATGACAGTGAAAATAGTATTTCCGATTCTAGTTCTTTCATCTCAGCAGCGACAAAAATTCAAGCAGGTATTATAAAAATTTTATGATTATTATTAATTTTAATATTTGTGATGTGCATTGTAGAAAGGGCCCAAAGATTCAAAAGAAAATTTTAAGGTTATATTTATGATAGTTTTAGTTTGATTTAAAAATTTTAATTATATATATAATCAAAATCAGTTTATATTTGAATATGCCCTGAATAACATTAGTTTATAATGAATTTTTGATTCAATTTGGAAATTTTTGTTCTAAAACTATCATAAACATAACCTATAAATTTTAACTTCTTAGCTCTCTTTCTTCAGAGCGCCTTTTGTTTCATAAAAGTGCACCTAGGATTTATTGTTACGTAACTTACGTAACGTAATGTAGTATCATGTAAAAAATGATCTTACTTAAAGTTGCAATATTTGTATTTCTACATAAAACTACGTAAAAACATGTAAATAACGTCATGTTACGCAAAACATTCGATATAACGTATTAAGCGTATCATGGCTCAAAATATACATGTAATACGAAAAAATATGCGTTACGTATGTTCCGTACCTTAAGATTACGTTACAGTGAATAAATTTACGTAACTATGTGTAAAAGAGTGTAATTATGCAAGGTAGCGTACGCTATCTTACATAGATTTATGTTGCGCATTAAATTTACAGATAAATTTACGTAAGATACGTAAATTTACATAATAATACACACATCTACGTAAAATCATTATTATTCGTAAAATACGTAACTCAGGGTAAGTTTCGCTATTATAATGCGTGAATTACGTAAAATAATTTGCAATACGTATAATGCGTAAATTACGTAAAATACGTAAAATAATTCGTAATGCCTATATAATACGTAAAGTACGTTAAAAATATTTTACGTACTGTTATTCTTGAAGAAATATATTGTTAATTGTTTAAGGGGGGAACACCAGTTGTAACTCAAAAAATAATGCTTTTTTCAAGAATATTTTCCAAAAGAACAATGAATCTTTTTAAAGAATACTATTTATTAGTTAAAAGTACATGTAAAAAGCTGTAATTTAAAAGAAAAAAAAAATTTTTTTAACAAAAACTTTTGGAGATATGAGCCATTGAAGTGGCGTCTTAAGAAAAAAGGCGAATTGCGGTGACCAGCATTCTGCAAGTATACTTCGTCTGAAATACAAAAATGAAATTGATTTACATTTATTATAAGATTATCTAGTTCGTGATCGAAGGATTTAAAAAAAAAAAAAAATTTGACAAAATGGCGACCTGTCAAAGTCAAAAGTATGATTTTCGTTAAAAAAATACGGTCGATTTTCAGCTATATAAAAAAAAGTTTTGATTAAAAAAAAAAATCCTTCGATCACGAACTAGACTTATATGTGTAAATGAAGCACACTAAATTTTAAATAAATCGGTTTAATGGTATTCGAGTAATCGTGGTCACCGACTTGGAAAATGTCATTTTGAGAAAAACGCATTAAAAGTTTCAACTTACTTTTTTTTGTTCAGAAGAAATTTTGTTTCTAAGTTACAAAGAGTCATCGATTCCTGGACCATATAATAACTCTTCCGCAGTGGTTGCCGTTTCTAAATCATAGGAAAAGGCCATCTGTCGTTAGGGTCAGGTATGGCTGGCCACCTTGTATGAAGCCACGGGACGCGCCGCTGCAGTGTTCTGTATATCTCATTTATTTTTCACCGGATCAACTTTGAAATTTACAGACACATTTCTAAATATGTATACTTTAAGAAAATGCACCAAAAAAAAAATCGATTTTTCGAAAGTTACAACTGGTGTTCCCCCCTTAAGGTCGATTAAATGAAAAAAAGAAATTTACCGGAAATTAGAAAATTGCTAAGTTTTAGAATGAGTGATTGTCTCGTTTAGAAATGACCTCGTAATTTTTTTTTTTTTTGCCTTTATTATAAATGATGAAATAAAGGACATCTGATAAGAATTTTCATTTCCATTAAAGGGATTCGAGGATTTTTAATTCGAAGACGCCTACAGAATTCGCAATTTCGCAGTTCAACATTGGATAGTGTACCATCGATCCAAGAGAGTTTTGTGGTGAGTAATTTATTTTTATTATTATAATGCATCATGACTATTGTACGTGCTGCCTTCCTCGTTCTCTTAGACATGAATTCATTCACGGTTTGCACGCACTGTTATCGAAATATATATATATATATATATATATATATATATATATATATATATATATATATATATATATATATATATATATGTACACACGCTGCATTTACATTTAAAGAATATAAATTGACTATTCCCATACACAGTAAAAATCTGAACACTATTTATGTATAATATTCACTAAACGTATTTAAATATTCAGAATACGTATTATAGCAATAATTTTTCAATTTAACTGTGATGATATATGACTTTTCTATTATATCAAGGTCTATAAACTACTTTTAATTTATGGTCAAGGACGTATGTTATGTATTGTAAATTCCTCCAGAATTTATAGAGAAATCGTTTCTGTCACGTTTTTTAAAATTATACTTCCCTTTTTGCAAAGTCAAATCTTTTTACGATCACATTGCATTGGTTTAAAAAAATAATATTAATAATAAAAATAATAGTAATAATAATAATATTAATTATTATTATGTTATTTTATTAATTACATTGCAACATTTATTTTAAATTGAATCTTTCAAATTTTCATCATTTTAATTTCTTCTTGCTTTTTTCACTCTCTAAATTTGAATTAATTAAAAATAACTAATTGTTATGAGTTAGTTGTGAGTTTTTTTGAGTTTCTTCTTCGTCAATTAGAAAAAATAATTTAATTATCAGTAAAAAATAACTAATTTTCAGTGTAAAAATAACTGAAAAAAAGATTGAGTTTGACTAATTGAATTAGTTCCAGAAATTTTAATTATTTTTGACATTAATTGACTTTAAATTATTTTAAATAAGAGCACGCGCAAATTCGATTCGGTCAATAATGGAAGTGTTCGGCAATCACTAACAGTCACTGTCAGTGATGTTGTTATTGGGCTGATCCAACAAAATCTATATTCTGATTAGGTAATTTTTACTGCCAGTAACTCTCACGAACACGCACAATATTATTCGACTTTCGATTTTCATTCGATATTTTAAGGTTATGATTGTTTTTAGAAAAAATATTATCGAAATGGCTTGAAAATATTTATTATACTATAATTGTCTTCATTAAAAAAAAAAAATTCACCTGCTTTAAGTAATTACCGAGTTTGTTGAACTTTTCGTGATACCGAATGCAGGTAGACGTTCTTTATATAAAAAAAAAAACCAGAAACCTAGAAACTGACCTCGACTTTGATTTACAATACTCTATTAAAATGAAATTACAACTTTAAATTGCAAATTTTCATTCACCAATCTGGATGAAAAAAATTTCATAGAAAAAGCAGGCACAAAATTACAAGTTTATTAAAATCGAATTTTTATTTAACTTGAATTCACATTTAAAAGAATTTTTATTTATTGGAACTCCTATAGCTGAATATTCATTCACACGAAAAAAAAGTAGAATTTTTACCCCAAAATCGGTATAAAAATTACCTGCAACAAATTTTATCCTAGTTGAGGGCGCCACCGTCTATGTGAATTAGCATTGGTGAAAATTACCCGCAACAAAATTTACCCAGCATTTTTTCTGTGTTTAACATAATTTTAACTGAGTAACGTTTTTATTAAATGCCAGAATCTCTAATTTCATCGAAACTTGGTTTGCCATAATTTTTATTTATACAAATTGTCGTTTGATAGAAATTTTAAAACAACCCAATTTTCATTTGACAGAAATTGCAAATATCCGACAGTTTTTGGCGCGAATTTTAAAATTAATCAATCACAATTTTTTTGATTATTTCTGATTGGTGTATTTTAAAATTCGCGCCAAAACTTTTCTTTAGGATATATGTTTGGACATTTGCAATTTTGGTCAAATGAAAATTCGGTGATTTGATATAATTCTCTCAAATGACAATTCGTACTAATGAAACTTCCAACAAATAAAGTTTTGATAAAATGGAAATTCTGCGCTATTTAAAAATTCGACTAACAATAAGTAGACATTCTATTAAAAGATAATTCTGTTAAATAAAAATTTAAATAAAAATAAAAATAAATTTACATGTGAATTTAGTTAAGTCAAAATTTTATTAACCCCTTCGCTGTGAGGAGTAAAATCTTAAATGTGGGTCCAAAATGTTAAGAAACTTTTTTACAATCAAAATTTTTGTAACTGAGTGAAATTATGTTTTTGGGGTTGCTGAGTACGAATCTGATGTTAGTTTTTCAAAATTCAAAATGGCGGATCCAATATGGCGGACATATTTTTTCTAAATTCAGTGGATTTGCTTGAAACACGTTACTCGGGGGTTTTTGGGGTCGCTAATTACGAATCCGGTGTTAGTTTTTCAAAATGGCGGATACAATATGGCGGACATATTTTTCTAAATTCGTTGGATTTGCTTGGAACACGTTACTTGGAGATTTTTGGAGTTGCTGAGTACGAATCTAATGTTAGTTTTTTAAAATTCAAAATGGTGGATCCAATATGGCGGAAGATTTTTTAAAAATTCATCGGATTCACTTGAAACTTATTATCGGCGGTATTTGAGATCGCTGATTACGAATCTGTTGTTAGTGTTTCAAAATTCAAAACAGCGTATCTAATATGGCGGATATATTTTTCAAAATTGCGTCAGTTTTTGCTTCAAAACACATTACTCAGAGCTTTTCAAGATCGCTTATTACAAATCTGATATTACTTTTTCAAAACTCAAAATGGCGGACAGAAAAATTAAGAAGCAATCGAATTTACTTAAAACTTATTACTCAAAGGTTTTCAGTGTCATCTAAATTCAAATTTAGATTTTAGAAATTAAAAACTGTGAATGAAATATGGCGAAAATTAATAATGTAAATAATAAATAAAAAAAATAACTATAAAATTCCACAGCCGCAATTAGCTAGTAAATAATTTAACAACCCCAAGTTGTACCACGTGGAAGAGTGCAGCGTGATTTTACACTACATTTTTTTTTTTACTTTTTTTGTATTTTTAGATTTTTTTTGATTTATATATTTTTTTTAACAGAAATGTTAAGAAAAGAAAAAAATCCGATCAACTTTAATTTTGTCATCCGCCATTTTAAATTTTGAAAAACTAACATCAGATTCGAATTCAGCGGCCCCGAAAACCGCCGAGTAACAAGTTTCAAGTGAATCCGATCAACTTTAATTTTTTCGTCGGCCATAATGGATTTGCCATTTTGAAAAAAAAAAATTTTTGAAAACCAACATCATATTCAAATTCAGAGGCCCCAAAAACCCCCGAGTAACAAGTTTCAAGTGAATCCGATCAACTTTAATTTTTTCGTCGGCCATAATGGATTTGCCATTTTGAAAAAAAAAAATTTTTGAAAACCAACATCATATTCAAATTCAGAGGCCCCAAAAACCCCCGAGTAACAAATTTCAAGTGAATCCGATCAATTTTTAATTTTGTCATCCGCCATATTGGATCCGCCATTTTGAATTTTGAAAAACTAACCTCAGATTCGAATTCAGCGGCCCCGAAAACCCTCGAGTAACAAGTTTCAAGCGAATCCGATCAACTTTAATTTTGTCGTCCGCCATATTGGATCCGCCATTTTGAATTTTTAAAATCTGACTTCATATTCGTAATCAGAGACCTCGAAAACATTTTGATTTTATTGTGCGAGATATTAGTTTGATTTTGGTTTTTGAATTTTAAAAATTTGACTTTAAATTCGGATTCAGCGTCAAAAATACCATAAATAACGTATGTGTGATATAAATCTACTTTTTTTTGTGCCTTTTATCAATTTTTTTTGTAGGTACGTCTATAGACGTATCCTCACACTCAAGGGGTTAAGTGAATATTTTGTAAAATGAACATTAAATTAAAAAACAATTATGTTAAATTAAAATTTTATATTGTAAAAATTTTACAAATTAAAAATTTTGTTAAATAGAAATTATATTGAATAAAAATTCATTAAACTAGAGAATCTGTTGCATAAAAGTTTGACTAAATAATAATTCGTTTAATTATGAATTCATAGTTAAATAAAAATTCTTAATTATGAAAATTCAAAAATTCTACTTTATAAAATTAAGTAAAATGGAAATTCGAGCTTATTAATTTCGAAATTGTAGAAATTTCAACAAATTCAGTGTGGGTAATATTTATGTGTTCCAAAATTCCAAATTGCGAATAGAATAAAAAAATAAAAAAAAAAAAATGAAAGGTAAATAAAAGTTTTTTTTTATGTATTTATTTTCTTTTTTTTCGTCGAAGGAGGCAATATTCGCCCTCGTCAAATAAGATACGTGTCAAGTTATTTTGACTAGAAGGCCGTAACATGATTTACGATAATATTTTTTTAACCCGATCGTCTTGCCTATCATCCGACAGCTGATATTCGTCCCCTTTCACTTTTGTCCAGAGGACTTATTAATGGAGCTTTTAAATTTACATGAAACTGGCAATAAATTGGAAGAGAAAAAAAATTTCGCACTTAAAAATTCATTTTTCATTTTCGAGATAAATTTTCAATTTTTTTTTTTTTTATTACAACTTTAATTCGCAATGTTTTTTTCAGCTAAAAAAAAATTTGTAATTGAAAATATTATTCTTTTAGGTATTCTTAAACAATTTATTTATTTATTTTTTTTAATTAAAAATTAAGGGATTTTCTTTTCTTTTTTATATGAATTTTAAAATACTTTTTGCTGCCTCTCCTCCCGAGGAAGCTTTGTATTTTCACATTGATACTTATTTAAAATTTATTGTATTTTATTATTTTTTTTTTTTTTAATAGTAACCAACTAGAGATTTTTTATAAAAACAATTTTTGTGATTTTATGCTCCTTAGAGTAATTGTAATTACCTCCTTGGTGTACCAAATTGTTTTTCATCTCGTTCATCCTACGAGAAATAAAATAATAATAATATTATAATTATAATAATAAATGGATAATAAATAGTTATTTTTTTCTAAATTTATTTTTAA